TGGCTGATACCTTTGATAGCTCCTGGTCCAGGTAGGTTCCGATCTCTTCACCCAGATACGATAGAGTTTCAGGAAGCCAGTAGTGAAGTGGGATCCCTTTAAGCATGATCCAGAAGGGTATTTGTGAGGGAAAATTGTCGGAGATAGTTGGTTCCGATCTTTGGAGGATTACCATCCAGAAAGTGAAGCGATACGGTCTGTTTTCAAGGACTTGAAGCAGATCCTCTTCAACTTCAAAGTGAAACTGGAAGCAACTATTTCCGAGGTCCGATCCCACTACATTTACTTTTAGACTCCATCGTTTTGCAAATAAATTTATCAAGGACCAAACTCTTTACTCTCTCGGGTTGGTTAGTCTTCCAATCAGAGTTATGTTATTTTCTAAGATTAGCTTGGAGTTGTCCAGATCTGGAACTCTAACTCTGATTCTTGTTTGCAGATCTGTTTCTTGAACTGGTGCTTTTCCTTTTTCCGCATAAGAGAGCCGATGATTCATCTTGAAAAGAAGATAGAATCTTCTTGGTGGTCTTATTCACACCCGTACAAGCAGCTTCACTCCTCTTGGTGGTCTTATTCACACCTGGAATGAGTAAACTAATTGTTTGTCGAAACTAGTTGTAAGTGGATATTTGATTGGTGAGGTTGAGAATGGTGGTTAGAGCGGGGCCAGTGTAGTCTGGAGGATACGGAGGAGAGCCTCAGGCTGGCATAGAAACGGACCCTCCGACCCGAAGGTGGGGGGTGGAACCGCGTTGGCACGCCTCCCAAGCTTAATATTTTGAAAAAAAACTGCTGTTTTGGATAAAGGAAAATGGTTGTGATAGACTTCATATTACTATTCAATGGGTAAAAACCTTTCTCAAAGAGCGGGCCTGAGAGAGTTTTCTCCTTTTTAAAAGTTATACAAGCTTACACTTGTGGTCATGCATCATGGCATTGTTCTCTAAACAGTTTTGGAAAGGGAATTTGGAAAAATTGCTGAACTTTGTTCCAATTACAATCAAAGGCATAAACGTCAAGCAATTGTGATATGAATGGATCTTGGAGAGGCGATAATGCAAAACAAGGCGGTATTGGTTGGGTTCTCACGGATGGGAGAAGTGAAATGGGTTAGAGGTAGATCCATTCTGAGGTTCAGTACTGTGTAATAGCACGACAATCTCTTCTAATCGACATCAAAAAATTAGCTTTGGGCTTCCATGATTTCAAACTTGTGTTCCATTCATGAGAAGAAAATGGCTTGGCAGAATCTGTTGTCGAAAAGACTTTTAATTTTCTAAATTTTGAACATATTTTCCTATAACAACTTATTTTTTAAACGTACTTTGTATTCTTTTTTTGCATTGATAACTTTAAAAAGAAAGATTAATAGGAATCAAAATGGTATAAGATATAGAAAAAAACAAATTTAAATTTCTAATCAATATAAGTTTATTGTAATACATATATATTCTTAAAATCTGGTTGCATTATATATAATCAAAGACTAATTATGTAAGAACCTAAAAATCATTTAAAAATCTATAACGCACACGTAATATTATGAAAGTGTAAAATAATACTAGCTATTTCCACATGCAGTAAGAAATTCTTCTTCTTTCCATTTTAACACAAGACCAATAATAGTAGGGTCAGAAGTAACATCATCAATTGGGAGAGTGTTTTACTTCTTGGATTTTCAGTTAAAAATGTTTAAAACATAAATTACTTTGGCTCATAAGTCAATCATGTTACATGATAATAGGATCTCTTAAAAATTAGTTTACTCCAAGGTTGGAAATAGTATAAACAGAAAATGTTATATCATAATATTTCTCTCGGTTATTTCATCATAATATAGATTTTAAATTCCCGTTTATCGTTAAGCAATTAAAATTTCCTTAAAATTATTCATTTTTCTAAGGCACTAATAGAAAATTACCATTAGATGTAACATATTAGTTCTGTGATACAAAGAAAAACAAAAATAGAGAAAATGAATGCATATAATGAGAAACAAAGAAAATTTAAGCATGGAAAGATTGTGTTTTGAGCACACAAGAAAACGATTTTGAGGTGTTATCATATTCTAAATAATATATAATCTATCGTTTTATTGTTTACTCATATCTATCTTTTTTATTTATTTATAGTAAGTAGCAAACAGAAATAATCACATATACTACATAAAACTTTTAGCTAATCTTAACACACTTTTAGTTAAACGTGAAACACTTAGCTAAAAACACAAATAATTTTTGTGCGATAACAAAAAAAACACGCAAAACATATACAAATAATTATAATGAACTAATACAGATAACTGGTGATAAAAATTAGCTGAAATATAAGTTATACTAATATATTTATGTCATCAAAATCTTATTTGCCTACTCATGCTGACTATTTATATAAAATATTTTTAAAATTTTAAACAACTCAAACTCTTAATTGAAAAAGTAAAAAAAAAAATTATATATATTTTTTAATATTTGATAGACATATATCTTTTTCCTATAAAATTCATTAAATCATTAATATATTTTAGTATTTTTTCTTATTTAAATTATAAATAAATTTAAAAATAATATAACCGGGCATAGCCCGGAAAATCCCCTACTAAAAACAAAAGCCACTGTTAATTACAATAACGTGTGGAACAAGTAACATGATCAGTATTTATCCAATGAACCTTGATGTCAGGGACATCAAACTGAAAGGTTTGCATTCTCCTCCTAAAGCCAAGACATGGTTTCCTTTTGGATTAGGCCGCATATGTATAGTTGACTGGTTAAAATAGGGTTTTTTTGGATCCTTAATGTTGTACTGACGAATATATATGTGAATTCAGTTTGAAATATCGAGGAACTGGTCGTCAAGGGATTTAGGAAATCTGTGATAAGCCCTGGTATTTCAGAAAGAATCTATTAAGTTTTCTGAGCTTCCAATCCAAAATCAATTGGCAATAAGTGGATTGGTTCAAGTCCCTTATATACTTGTTCAGGTTCTTCCAATTTCCGATGTATGACATATTTTACACACTCTCTAAAGGTTAAGGCCTCTTATGACCTATTAACCCTTAATAATCTTAATACCCTCCTCGAGATAATGGTCCTTCTAGTCATTAATCTCGCTTTTACCATCAATTTTGGATCGAGGGGCAGATGCCACTTTCTGAGCCGGACAATGAGAATGTATGAACCGGACTCTGATACGGTGTAGAAATCCTTTTGTGTATTGATATTAACAAAGACAATACAATGATTATATACTCAGCTATATTATTTATTTGCCTTAAGCTATACAAAGACGATCACTATACAATTGGGGAATAAGGTAACTAAATAAATCAATTACATTATCACCTAATTATGTGGGATATGACTCAATATCCCAATACCCCCTTCAATCTGGAGTGCGCAAATCAAGGATGTCTAGCTTAGAACGAAACTCGGCAAACGCTATGCAACCAAGCGATTTAGTAAAAATATCAGATAGTTGTTGAGAAGTAGAAACATGATGAATAGCAAAAATATTGTTTTGAATTGCTCACGAACATTATGGCAGTCATTCTCAATATGTTTAGTACATTCATGGAATGTCTGATTGGTGACAATATATATTGCGGATTTGATGTCACAATACATTCCCATTGGTTGATCATGTGAGATGCCAAATGACTGTAATACATTTTTGATCAAGACCAGCTCATCTTTAAGAACTGATATAGCTCTATACTCAGCTTCAGCATAGGATTTATTAACCGTATCTTGCTTCTTTGTTTTCTACGATATTGAAGATTTTCCTATTTGAATGAAGTAACCAGTGACTGAACGCCGTGTAAGAGAACAACTTGCCTAATCTCAATTGCATCACCCTGAAATCTGGAAATCGTTATCTGAACCCATAAGAATCCCTTGGCCAAGCGAACCTTTAACATAGCGCACAATACGCAAAGCGGATTGCCAATGATCCTCACGAGGTTTCTGCATAACTATGATAAGATATGAACACTGAACGCTAAATCAGGTCGTGTTACAGTCAAGTATATTAATCTTCCAACTAACCGACAGCATGGAGAAGGATCAACCAAATATTCAGAATTTGAGAGAGCTAATTTGTGGTGTTGCACCAATGGAGAAGAAGCTGGTTTACATGTCAACATTCCAGTTTCGGTGATGATATCTAAAATATATTTTTGCTGGCATAGATAAAATCCTGTCTCAATCCTAGAAAATTTGATCCCCAAAAAATATTTCAAAAGTACCTAAATCTTTCATCTTAAAGTATGAAAAGAGATAGTCTTTAAATACCTGCAACGCTGATTCTGAATTGCCCGTTAATTATGTCATCAACATAGATAAGAAATTTAATCTGAACTCCATCCTTATCCAGTATAAATATGGAATAATCACCCAAGCATTGTTGAAATCCATAGGCTTGCAGTGCTTTGGTGAGCTTCTCAAACTAACATCATGGAGCCTGTTTAAGACCATAAATAGATTTCCATAGTCGACATACCTTTTGTTCATCCTTTGAATAAAATCCTGGTGGGGTTTCATGTTAACCTCTTCAACAAGGTCACCATGTAGGAATGCGTTGTGAACATCCATTAGATAGACATGCCAAACATTTCCAGCAGCAACTTTAAGAAACAATCCGATAGTACCCATATGTGCCACATGAGCGAATGTCTCCCCATAGTCTTTGGAAGTCGGGAGTGACCTTGACTAATATATAAAAGACCTGAGCTTCCAACCCAAAACCAATTAGCAATGAGTAGATTGACTAAGTCCCTTATATATTAGTCAGATCCCTCCCAATTTTTGATGTAGGACATATTATATACACTCTGTAGAGATAAAAGACTTCATAGCCCATTAACCCTAAAAATTCCCAATAGAATCCAGTTTTCAATTTTCAGAGGTTCCACCGAAATAGCTACCTTAAAATTGGAGGTTCATGTTAGAAAAATATCAAAAGAAAGGACTCAGATTTATCATAATGTAGGAAATCTACCTCGTGGCTCCATATGTTTCATCCTCGTTCTTGAAGAATCTCACTATAGTACTCGATAACGCACACCCTACAAATCCAATAGCTTTAGTAGGGTCGTGCAAGAATCTAACCTGCACCAGAAAACATAGCAGGAAGAAGATGCGATTTGGTTTCTTGTGGAGTAAGAAACTACTCTAAGCTGAGATTTAAAGATTAGGGTTTTACCTCTAAGGATAAAAGCCTGGTAACGTCAAGGTCAAGTATCTGTGTCAATTGGCCTTCTGGCCAACTAGAGACATGTAGATGATTTCCGTACAAACCATCAGAGACGTCTTTTAGATCAAAGCCTTTGGTAAACGCGGTTACGCAGCTGGTGCTCCCCAAGAGGTACTGATCATTGTCTCGTGCCGAGGTTGATACCAGAAATCATACTCAAACAAAGGACTGCTTCCTTCTTTATCCTACCAAAACAAATCAAATGTCTGTTATTCAAAACCCTAAGGAAGAGATTACATTTTGATCATCTTCCTTGCCATCCAAGAAAACAGTTCAAATCCGTCCTCAACTCCGAATTAAGTAAAAGAATCCCACTACCTCCTGCGTTTTCATCTTTGTCGCCAAGACAAGACACAAGAAGCTAAGCAATAGGGTTGATGCGGATAAGCCAATCTCGTCTTCTCCCAGGCTTTACCACTGCGGTTTGTTTTCGTATCGATCATGTAGATGCGACCAGACCTTTTTCAAACACGTTACAAATGAGAACATAAAACATGATAAATTTTCAGAGCTGGAAAATACAGAGGATCAAAGGATGTTGTTTTAGTTTTTTACAGACGAGAAGGCAAGATTAGATAACGTCTTTCGCAAGAAGGGTCACTATAGCAAGAGCTGCAGGAGTTCCAGCCTGAGTGATGAAGTTCGTCTCCAAGATAAGGCATTGATAATCTATGGATGACACTAGAGTATGTTGACGAGCTGGAGTCTACATCTACCGTCGCTAAGTAATCTGGTTTGTCTTGACCGGTTCCTGGACCAAGCGGTCACAAAGAAGTTTGTATATTTGATGAAATGACCACTTGTGATATAATTAATTACAGTAGTTGATCTTTAAGACTCTTTAACTCAACCCTCTATAGCATCAAAGTAGTTACCGGTGTAAATGACAGCGACATAGATGAGTTTCTCTCGTGGACCAAACATCGCGAGGAGAGGCGTGGTGTAATTACCTGGACCGTTCTTGCAGCAATCTCCACCGTGGCTTCTCACCGCCATCGCCGCCACGGTCGGTTTCATGATCTCTCTCTGTTTAGTTTACCAAATTGGCTTAGTGATTTAGGTTGGAGTAAACTAAATAACTAATATTCGTATTAAAACATTGTCTTCTTTATAAAAATCACATAAGGTTTTGTACACTACTAATCATTGGCTTTAAGGATAATATTTTTTTCTTTCTTTTCATTTATATAAAAAAGAAAAAAACCCACGTTTCATCGGAAAGATGACATAATTATGTACAAATCATAGCTCACCTGATCAGAGCTTTAAGCAAGTTGCAATATTCTATCAACGACTACCAAATAACCCAGCATATAAGCTTTAAAAAAACCAACATTTTATCTCAAAGATAGTACAGTTATGTATAAAACATAGCTCACTTTAAAGTTTTAATAAGCAAGTTGAAATATTAGTGTCGTTGGGAAACTCAACCATTTCTTGTAGTAAAAGGACTTCTCCTTGACATCTTTGGTTCATTTAGATTTTCAAAGAATACAAACCCTTGACTGGTAAATGCTAGAAAAGCTAGAAAGGATCTTCCTTTATTTCTGCTTTTGACATACAAATAATACTATAGAGTTTTGGTGTGCTTTCATTACAAGGATCCTGAGAGCGAAGAAAGATCAAAGACACATCAAATCCCAACAAGAAATTAATAAGTGAAACAGCACATACCATTGTTCATATATCAAAGGTACAAACAAAGTAACAAAGTACCTGTCCAATAACAACTATTTGTTGAATCAAACTGCTTCTCATGGCCGCTTCTTCGATCTCCAATGGCTCCACGTTTTCACCTACAATGATCAAAATGCTATCAAGATTATTTCAGCAGTAATTTTGCAGCAAGACGGTTTCAGTTCACTTGGGTTCATCTTTAACCCCATAGGCACGTTTAAACTGCATGTATACAAATATATGATAAACCTGTGGAAAGTATTGTGTCTTTGGCACGGCCTTCAATAACAATGACACTGCCACAGCTACGACTCCGTCCTGTTGAGTGATGAGGAGTAATCCAACCCATATCTCTAGTATTGAACCATCCTTCATCATCAATAACTTGCTTGGTGGCCTGTGGATTCTGAGCTAACCAACAGAAAAATGAGTTAATCTGATCTAGTATCCAAAACACAGAGAAGAAAGTGTGTATTACCTTATAGTAACCTTTCAGAACTGGTGGGCTCTGACTTTGACAATGCCCTTCGTACCAGGTGGAAGAATAGTACCAGTCTCTTGATCTACAATCTTGAAATCTGTATCTTTGATGGCATGCCCGACTGAGCCAAGAACCTTCACAAAAAAAATTCGAAAATACAATATTAATAGATATAGTCCAGGAAATTATATCTAATAAAATAAAAGAAATGAGGAATTATATATGATGAATGAAATAAAGTTATTGCAATTCTGGAAATCTTGTTCTGTTTATTATTCGACAAAGAAAAATGGCTTTATATAACAGTCTTACACCGTTCACTCTAAATTAAAAAGCAAGATACGAAAACGGAAATCATGATACGTAACATACGTAACAGAAGCAAATACCAAAATTTAAAGCTTATTAAAACTGAAACGTGATTAGCTCCTAAAAATACAGTAGAACCTCTATAAATTAATACACGATAAATTAATAATCACTAAAAATTAATAATTTGTGTCGGTTCTAAGTTGGGTTAGTGTAAAAATTGACAAAATTCGATAAGATAATAAGATAATACTTTTTTTGAAAGTTCTATGTAAAAATATGGTACCAATAATAATATAAATTAATAATTATATATTTAGGCATATATTAATAATATAATATAGTAAACTATGATAATATTATTGTTTCAAGTTTATAAAATTTGTTTGATTTATCTTCTAAATTCATTATTATGATATTTTTTGAATAAATTTTACATTGTTGACAATATTAATTTTGTTTTTCTGATGAATATTAAAAATTCAAACTAAAAATATCTCTATAAATTAAAATTTTATTAATTTATCAATAAATTAATAATTATTATTTATCGATTAGTTAATAACTCTATAAATTAATAAAATTTGAGAGTCCCAACATTATTAATTTATAGAGGTTTTACTGTAAAGCTAACACTTATTGACTCATTCAAAATCAACAAATTTCTTCCCTTAAACTGAAATACTCATTAGTATCAGTTTAATCCTTCAAGCATCGAACTCCAAGCAACTCCCTGAGTTTCACAAACTGATCTAGCTTGATAGGCTTAGTCATTATGTCTGCAACTTGATCATTTGTTCCAAAAAACACCAACTTCAGAGCTCCCTCATTCACCAAATCACGAAGATAGTGATATCTCACATCAATGTGCTTTGTTCTCTTATGCATGACCGGATTCTTAGACAATTTGATTGCAGAACTGTTGTCACACATGATATCGATACACTCACAGGTTCCAACTCCCATTTCCTGCAAGATTCCCTTTAACAAAACACCATGACATGCTGATGAGCCACTTCCGTTGAAGAGAGAGTAACAATGGTTTGCTTACGTGAGCTCCAACATATTGCTGCATCATTGAATAAAAACACATATCCGGAAGTGCTCTTCTTATCATTCACATCTCTCGCATAATCACTGTCGGTGAATTCCCAACACTTCTTTTAACAGCGTTTTCTTGTAGAAGACTCCATACTCCAAATTTCCACTTATATATCTTAGCACTCTTTTAGCAATCATTAAGTGCTCTTCTGTGGGGTTAGCCATGAAACGAGAAAGCAAGCACACAACAAACATCAAATCAGGCAACCAATGAGTTGTTCACTTGTTTGTAAAGTGTTGCATCAGCCTTCTCGCTTCCTTCCTTTGAAAGTATGGTGCCTGGAACAATTGTATTTTTGACAGAATTGCAGTTTCCCATATTGAGTCTCTCCAGAACCTCTTTGGTGTACTTCTTTTGTCCAATATGTATACCACCATCTCCTTGCTGAACTTCTACTCCAAAAAAAGAACTTCATCTTTCTCATATCTGTCATTTCAAATTCTTTCTGCATTGATGACTTAAACTCCGCACACATCAACTCATCATTTCCAACGAATATTAGATCATCAACATAAAGACTCACCACCAACATTTTATTCTTGGCTTTCTTCAGAAATAAGGTGTGATCATAATTGCTTTTCTGAAATCCCTCCTTCTTGAAGTAGCTCTCTATTTGGCTGAACCAGGCTCTTGGTGCCTGTTTGAGTCCGTAAAGAGCCTTTTTCAATCAGTACACCTTATCTTCTTCTCGGATTTTGACAAACCCTTCTGGTTGAGCAACGTAAACCTCCTCTTTTAACTGTCCATAGAGAACTGCACTCTTAACGTCTAGTTGATATACACACCAACCTTGTTGAGCTACTACTGCCAAGAGACTTCTGATGGTGTCCCGTCGGGCGACAGAAGCATAGACCTCCGTGTAGTTTATCCCTTCTGTTTGTGAGTACCCTTTTGCAACCAAACGAGCCTTGCATTTTTTTATATCTCCTACTTCATTTAACTTAGTCTTGTAAACCCACTTGACACTAATTTTATTTGCTTGTGATGGCAGACGCACAAGCTCCCAAGTATGATTTCTCTCGATAGACTGAATCTCCACTTCCATAGCATCTCTATTTTTTTTCTCTTGCAGCATCGTAGTAATGCACTGGATCGTCATTGCTTATGTAGAAAGCAAAAGCAAAATATCCCATGTCATATTCTTCCTCGCCTATCTCTTCCCCCGAGACAAAATCTTTCATCCAGACTGGAGCATTTCTCTTTCTTTGGGAACTTTCTACAAGCTCAGGTGTTTCAACCCCGTCTTGTTCCTCTATGACTTCCTCTGTTTCACGCGTTTCTGTCTCACCTTTAGTTTCACCTTGCTCCTCTGCAACTTCCTCTACATTTTCATTCTCTTCCACATCTGTTTCTTCGCCTGCATCAACATCATTATGTTCTCCATCCTCTCCCCAAACGAGAGTAGTATGCTCTGAAGTGCTTAATTTCCAATCCCATTTCGCATCTTCTTCATAGAGAACATCTTTGCCTGTAATAATTTTCTTTGTAACCGGATTGTACAGCCGATAAGCCTTCGATTCATCACTTACTCTGAGCAAGATACATCGATGGCTGCGTTCATCAAGCTTGATTCGTTTCTGTTCCAGAATGTGGACGTGACCAACTGACCCAAAAATTCAAAAATAGTCCACCTTAAGTTTGATTCCCGACCATCGCTCTTCAGGAAACATGTCTTTGAGTGCTTTTGTGAAGCTCCGATTCAATATATGAGCAGTCCACCTTGCTGCTTCTACCCATAAGAATCTCAGCATTTCCTTCTCAGATAGTAAGCAATGAACCATGTTCATGATTGTTCTGTTTCTTCTCTCTGCTACTCCGTTTTGTTGCGGTGTTTATGCAGTTGTCAACTGCCTTTTTATACCACCATCACTGCAGAACTTGTTGAAATTTTCTGAAGTAAATTCACCTCCACTATCAGTTCGTAACCCTCGGATAACAGTCTTAGCTTCCTTTTCAGCCAAGCTTTTGAAAGGTTTGAAGGTTGCAAAGGTTTCAGCTTAATCAACCAAGAAATAAATCCATGTTTTCTGAGAAAAATCATCAACAAAGACCAGCAAGTAGCATTACCACTTTGAAAGACTGGAGTGATTGGCCCACAAAGATCTGCATGTATCAGCTCCAGCTTCTCTGATGCTCTCCATTTGCTTTTCTTTGGAAATTTCATTCGTTGTTCTTTTCCTATGTTGCAAACAGTGTAGAATTTATTGATGTCCTTGATATTTGGTAGCCCGTTCACCATTTCTTTCCTTTACATAAGTTGAATGGACTTGTTGTTTAAGTGTCCAAACCTCTTGTGCCAGAGATTCCCCAAGTCTTCTCCTTCTGCTTTGAGACAAGTTGTAGTGATTGGTTTCTTCAGAGCATGAACCAAAAAACATGCAGTTCTTGGTCATTTGTGTCTCCACAATTACTCCTCTTTCATCGTGATATATCCTACACATGCCATCTTTAATAACA